AATGTAATTTAAGGTTTACCAGTCTACATATAAAATGTCCTCAACATGTTGCCAGAAATGTCATGTACGCTTTAAATTTCAGTCTCTATAGATAAAAACAATAAACTTCAAATGCTGTAACTCTGTTGACATTTGTAGACATTGAAACTTTATCTAAATATTAAATACTTTCAAAAACGAAAGTTTATTTTCTTCTAATGAAAATAATTTATAATACTTCTATAGAAGTTTTTACGCTACAAATATTATTATATCCGCTAAGCTGAAACAGTAAAGTACTTATTTAATTAAATCTTAGTTTTTGTTTGAATATTTATTAGAAGAGGCTCAAGATCACTGTTTCTAAAAAATAGACAGATTAGACAAAAACATTCATTTTCCTTTCCATGATGGCGACAGTTTTTTTACATAATCAAGATCAAGGACGCGACGCAATGCTGATAACAAGCTCTATCATCCGAATTTAATACAAGAATAAAAACGTTTTTTTACACCTTTATCCTTATCCAAAAGATATATAATGCATGTCTATATGAACAAGTACTAATATTATAAGACTGAATTATAAGACTAAATGAATCAATATTTGTATTTCCATAATCGTTTATTTGTAGAGGGAAAACAAATGGGGCTCATTTACCTAATACAATAAAGAAAGCAGAAAATATCTAGAATCAAATTTCCTTGAAGAATCGTCCTTGACTTTGTTTATTACAAGCAAGAAATCCATGTTCTTGACAACATAAAATAATTTAATACCCTCAAGGCATTTCTTTGTGGATAAAAGAATTTATCTTTTTGTGTCTGTAATGACGTTTCCATTCAGAAAGAATAAAGGTAATTACATGTTCATTGTCTTCACGTTATAAGTTTATTTTGTAACATTAGAATAATAAAACAATATATATTATATTTAGAGTTGACTCGTACACAGTTTTAGAAATCATATTAGACTCGCCAGGCATCCAGTATCGTTTTCTACAGTTGTAAACCGATCCAAAAATATTCCTTACATAAACTATACACTCGTTGTCCTACTTATACACATCAAAATGGCACAACTTTCACAAATCTAAATATCCAGTGAAATTTGGGTAGTTTATCTACTTACACATAACATTAAGAATAGTCTTTCATCTTTCATCAACTTCTGAATCACTTGTATTAAAAAACATTTTTAATTACGGTAAGAAATCAATTGATCAAACAATAGAAACAGATTATTCATCGGCACTGCACTTTAATGAAATATCTCACACAAAATGTTTAATCTGATAGTGTATGATGAATAGGAAAACGTTGATAGAAAAGTTTCTACAATGTGTCAATTTCTTTGTAATAAATGGACTATGTTTTTAAATCATTACAGTCATATCTTTATAGAAAATCTTAATTAAACTTTTGTGTGATATCACTAACAGATAAATTATGTCAAAATGATGTTTCTTACTTGTACTGATTATTTATATATCATTATGTTTGGGTTGTAAGACCTAGTTTTTTCCTATATTAGAAGTCGAGCTCAAAAACATCTACCAATTTCTAGATATTTGTACCAAAACAGTCACCTCTACAGAGTTTTTTTTTTCCATATTTAGGCCGTGACTTAGTTTTTGACCCTTTGTCAAATTTCAAGGATATTTGGATCAAAACGATAGCAAGTAGACTGTTTACAGGATTTTTTCTAATATTTGCTCCAGTATCCTACACTGGTTCAGCAGAGATGACCTATCTTTGCAAATTCCCTGATCAAGTTGGTGACAATTGAGACAAAATTGTGACCTCAAGAGCGTTAACATACTAAAATTGGACATTTTGGACATTCAACAAGCCTAAATGCTCAACCTGAGCAAGCTCAAGTGAGGTAATAAACAAGAGCACCGCTAGGTGGAGCATTAAATGCCCAAAAGTGTTGTTGTTTTTTTTGTCAGTAAGGATGAAGCATTTGTAAGACATAGGAATTAAATACAGTATTACCTCCTCCAAAAAGCAATCCTCTTTATAGCTGAAAAACCTTCATATATATATACAGTTGCTGTTTTCAAAGCACCAGCATCTAGTTGTAGTTATGCTCCAGAAACCACAACTTTCAGTGTTAAGATCATTGTGACCCTGACCTTTGACCTTATGACCCTAAAATCAATAAGGGGTCATGTATTGAACATGGCTGTTTATCCTATAAAATTTTACAGCTGTAGTTTGGATAATACTTAAGTTATTGAGTGGAAACTGTTTTCAGTTTTAAGGTAATAGTAACTGTGACCTTTGACCTTGTGACCCCAAAATCAATAGGGGTCTTCTACCCAATATAGACACTCATCCTATGCAGTTTGAATACTCTGGGCCAAACTGAAATAAAATTATGCTCCGAAAACCATTTTTAGTTTTAAGGTTATAGTGACTTTGACCTTGTGACCCCAAAATCAATAGGGGTCTTCTACCAAATATGGACAATCATGCTATGAATTTTGAATAATGTGGACCAAATAGAACTTGAGTTATGCTCCCGAAACCATTTTCAGTGTTAGGGCAATAGTGACCTTGACCTTTGACCTTGTGACCCCAAAATCGATAGGGGTCTTCTACCCAATATGGACAATCATCCTATGAATTTTGAATACTGTGGACCAAATAGAGCTTGAGTTATGCTCCGGAAAACATTTTCAGAGTTAGGGCAATAGTGACCTTGCCCTTTGACCTTTTGACCCCAAAATCAATAAGGGTTTTCTACCCAATATGGACAATCATCTTATGAAGTTTGAAGACTGTGGGCCAAATGGAACTTAAGTTATGCTCCGGAAACCATTTTCAGATTTAATGTAATAGTGACCTTGACCTTTGACCTTGTGACCCCAAAATCAATAGGGTCTTCTACCCAATACGGGCAATCATCCTATGAAGTTTAAATACTGTGGGCCAAATGGAACTTAAGTTACGCTTTGGAAACCAAATTGCTAACGGACAGACGGACGGACACCAGGGGGTATAACATAATATGTCCGAAATTCTTTCGGGCATATAAAAAGAAAAAAGATTAAAAGAAAATAAGGGGGAAATAACTCAAGAAATAGCCATGCTACAGTTTTGTATTACATATGATGTGGTTGATGATAAGAAACATATATTTCAATTCTGAAGTAGTTACCTACAGTTGTAGTGAGTATTTATAAAGATTGGTGTTGCTCCAAACCATTTTAATTTTAAAAGGGCATTAATTTAGTCAATATCCATTAGAAAGTTTTAAGCACTGGAAAGTGACATTAAATTATGATCCTGCAAATGTGTATTAAGTTTTAAGTGAATAAGAAAAATGTTTCACACAATTCTTTAATTTAGTCCATAAAAATAATTCAGTCAAAAGCCATGTCGTGGACCTTGGACACTAACTTTTGATTACTATACCAAAGTTATGAAGCAAATTTCAAGTGAAGACCTTCCATAGTTTTAAAAGATTAACATAAATAAAGATTGATTCTACATGCAAAAGTTTAATCCAGATTTCTAAGTTCAAAAATGGCCATAACTCTGTCAAAACTCATGCTAGAGTTATGGCCCTTAGGGATAGTGACATCTCAAGTTACAAGTAAATATTATTGTGGTAGATGAGATATGATGTTGCATGCAAAACTTTAACCCAACTGTGAGGCTGACAGGACATGTTTAAAGGGATTGTCAGGAAACATAAACCATATTCAGATTTTATGTACGACAAATATTCATGTGAATGGAATGGAACACAGCTTTATTGTGACATGATGATGGTACATATTCATACAAAATGTTCTAATACAGAGTCATGTACATTGATTAACACAAAAATATGTTTGAAAATCAATCAATAAATATTTAAAAGTCATTGTTTCAGAAAACAATGCCATATATATGACATTTTTACCTCCAACCAAGTGTTGCCCAAAACACACCCTCTGGCACTGGTGCAGACATCTGCAAAATATTTTGATGATATATCAAGGAATAAAACATCATAATGAAAATCCTATAATGCATGTAGCAGTAACTAGAACTGCCACTATCATGGCGTGAATACCCCCGCATACCACTTTGTCAGAATCAACAGTGGCCATTTAGAGCTCAAGGACAACCTCCCTGCCAAATCTGAGGTTACTAAGCCAGTGCATTGCTAAGTTATGTATTCTACATGCTTCAAATGTGAAAATGTCAAAATCAATACATTGCGGACAGGACATTCTTTAGCAATTGAGAAGAAAAGCTTTTTTTTGTCAAGGTCCATGTGACCTTTGACCCAGTGACCTCAAAATCAATAGGGGTCACCTTATAGTCATGATCAACATCCATACCAAATATGAAGACTGTGGGTCAAAGGAATCTTAAGTTAATGGGTGGACAAACTTTTTGAAGTCAAAGTCCCTATGACCTTGACCTTTGATCCAGTGACCTCAAAATCAAAAGGGGTCATCTACTAATCATGACTAACCTCCATGCCAAATATGACGACTGTAGGTCAAAGGAATCTTAAGTTATTGGGCGGACAAGCTTTTTGAAGTCAAGGCCCCTGTGACATTGACCTTTGACCTGGTGACCTCAAAATCAATAGGGGTCATCTACTAATCATGACTAACCTCCATGCCAAATATGAAGACTAAGGGTCAAAGGAATCTTAAGTTATTGGGCGGACAAGCTTTTTGAAGTCAAGGCCCCTGTGACCTTGACCTTTGACCTGGTGACCTCAAAATCAATAGGGGTCATCTACTAATCATGACTAACCTCCATGCCAAATATGACAACTGTAGGTCAAAGGAATCTTAAGTTATTGGGCTGACAAGCTTTTTGAAGTCAAGGCCCCTGTGACCTTGACCTTTGACCTGGTGACCTCAAAATCAATAGGGGTCATCTACTAATCATGACTAACCTCCATGCCAAATTTGAAGACTAAGGGTCAAAGGAATCTTAAGATCTTAAGTTATTGGGCGGACAAGCTTTTTGAAGTCCAGGCCCCTGTGACCTTGACCTTTGACCTGGTGACCTCAAAATCAATAGGGGACATCTTCTAATCATGACTAACCTCCATGCCAAATATGAAGTTTAAGGGTCAAAGGAATCTTAAGTTATTGGGCGGACAAGCTTTTTGAAGTCAAGGCCCCTGTGACCTTGACCTTTGACCTAGTGACCTCAAAATCAATAGGGGACATCTACTAATCATGACTAACCTCCATGCCAAATATGAAGACTAAGGGTCAAAGGAATCTTAAGTTATTGGGCAGACAAGCTTTTTGAAGTCAAGGCCCCTGTGACCTTGACTTTTGACCTAGTGACCTCAAAATCAATAGGGGTCATCTACTAATCATGACTAACCTCCATGCCAAATATGAAGACTAAGGGTCAAAGGAATCTTAAGTTATTGGGCGGACAAGAAAAAACCGACGGCCGGACGGCAGGACGGACGGACGGCCGGACAGACAAGCTGATTCCAGTATACCCCCCTTACAACTTTGTTGTGCGGGGGTATAATGAAATGGACACTTACTTTAATAGCAATTGAAAATATATGACAAATTCCTAACCTGTAAGCTAAAGACCTGATATTTAGTACATGTACTTATGAATCCCGTGATGCATGGAGAAGTTATTTATTTATATAATTATGTCCCTGGACATGAACTCTATAACCACTTCACACTATATGAAAATTAACATAATATGTTGCTGTAACCTTGAACTTTGTTCATGTGACCTAGATCTTGAGTGCTACACACTTTACTAGTAGTGGTCATATGTACCAATTCATTTTGAAATCCAATCATGCGAGCAGAAGTTCTGGCTCGTATACCAACTCACTCTAACACATAAACACTTAGACAAAATGCTCCCAACATTATTTTATGGCATGGGCACAATTACATAATGCACATATTAAGAAAATTCATCAGGAAAAATCTTTGCCTCTGTCTCATGTATTCCTTAATGAATTACATGTTTTATTCAGATTTAATTGATAGAATATATAATATTAACAATGAAATTTCTGATATTTAATGATTCATTTTGTTCCCTTCTTGTACAGAGAAATTATTTTTCTCTTTCCATTTGAAAATGTCCATACAAGCTCATGCGCAACACTGTGAAATTGCAATATAAAGTGCATGTGGCATATTTATATTTTAAGATACTGTATTTTATAGAAATATTTTTTAATAAACTGATTTATTTATATCATATCTTATCACTAGTGTGTTTTGTCATATGGCTTTTTAGATGTCCTTTCCGGAAAAAAGATTTCTCACATATTATGCATGTATGTTTCTTTTCACCAGTGTGTAATTTCTTATGTCTGCTAAGATTGCTTTTTAGAGAAAATGACTTATCACATATATCACATGTAGATCTTTGTTCCTTCTCACCAGTGTGTGTTTTAACAGTGTGTACTTTCATATGTTGTTGTAGATAGGCTTTTCGAGAAAACAGTTTATCACATATTTCACATTTATATTTCTTTTCATCAGAGTGTATTGTCATGTGCAATTTGAGAAGCTCTTTTCGAGAAAATGCCCTCTCACATATCTCACAGGTATGTTTTTTTTCTTCAGTGTGTGCTGTCATGTGGGTTTTAAGATACCTTAATAAAGGAAATGATTTCTCACAAATTTCACATGTATGTTTCATTTCATCTGTGTGCATCAGCATATGGTTTTTGAGATGCTCATTTCGGGAAAATGATTTCTCACAAATAACACATCTATATTTCTTCTCACCAGTATGTATAGCCATATGTCTTTTAAGATTACTTTTCTGAGAAAAGGATTTACAACATATTTCACAAGAATACAACTTTTCATCCATGTGTACAGTCATGTGGTTTTTCAGACCCTCTTTTCGAGAAAATGATTTCTCACATACTTCACATGTATGTTTCTTTTCTCCAGTGTGTATCAACAAATGCTTTCTGAAAGTACTTCTTTGAGCAAATGACCATCCACATATTTCACATGTATGTCTTTTCTCACCACTATGTATTGTCATGTGTGTTTTAAGGCTACTATTGTTAGAAAATGATTTATCACATATTTCACACATATGTTTCTTTTTATCACTGAGTTTCATCATATATGTTGCAAGGTCATCCATCTGAGAAAAAAGTTTATCACAACTTTCACACCTACATTTCTTTTCACCAGTGTGAATTGTCATATTACTTTCTACTGTATCTTTACAAGGAAATAATTTATCACACACTGCAAATATTTCCTTATTCTCACCTGCAGTGTGATTCATCAAATGCCCTTGAAGATGTTCTTTTTGGGAGAATGATTTATTGCATATTTCACACATAAAGCTTTTCTCATTAGAATCCACTTTCTCACTAGCATGAACAGTCGTAATATGTGTTTCTAGGTCTGCTTTTTCCACAAATACTTGATTGCAAATATAACATCTATGGCACACATTTTCAGGTTCTTGTTTCATATCAGATGAAAGAGAAAACAATCTATCACAGTTTTCAAATATAGAACTTTCCTCACTCATTCTAAAATGTCTTCCTTAAGCTTGTCTTAAGTCCCTATCAGTTACTGCTACACATGCATATTACTTGATTTCTGGTCACGAGCTTTTTCCCCCCGTTGTATTTATTTCTTTGAATTCTGCAAGATGAAAAATAAACATGATTTGCAAACTCTTCATGAACAAATATATTAACACATAATGCAAGCTTTGTTTATTTTTTTATAATTTAATCAGCAAAAATATCTATAAACTTAAGTAAATCAAAGCACAGAAGGTGCTGAATTTGTTTGGGTCTCAGAATGTAAGAAAGGTACCGGTTGTGAGATTATATGTATAGTGCCACCAATGCTTTCCAGCGTTTTAATTGTAGTAAATTGGCTATAAGACTAATTGCAACACTGATATTCAAGGCCACGGTGAATTTATATGTGAACGGCCTGAAGAAAACCATATTATTCTAAATTAGGGCTTGTAACAACTTTAACTGTTGTTTAACACAGATGTAAATAATCATGGAGCTTACTATAAGCATGTATATCTATAAAGAATTAAAGGGCTGCAAGCTCTGTGGTATTTTCTGATCTTTGCAATCTAAATCGTACTGTATATCTGTATGTATTTTCCTGTATAAGTTTATTTTTATGTACTATAATTCATCTTGCAAGGCACCAGTTTGATACATACGGAATTTTGCAAAACTAGTGTTGCATCAAAAAATCATTTATGTTCATTTTTATGACAGCCACACTTTATCCTTGCATATCATGGCTACTTCCTTAACAAAGACACTTAAAAAAGAATTTAAAAAAAAAAGTTTCCTCCACTGGGATTTGAACTCCAGACCTCTCACACACTAAGCGAGCGCGTTAACCCTGCACCACGGAGAAGTTACACAAACAGTAACTGAATAACATCAACTCATTCTAAATTTAGAACTTCCATTGCATTTCGGGTTTGTAATCCTTATTAATTTCGAGGTATTTTGTTCAGGATAAACTGCTGTTGTTTAAAATTGAAGTAAATAATTTAGCGAAAATCTTCTCGCCCAAACAGTCCGACATGTAGAATCTCTATATTCCACTACTCGGTTTGTGTAGTATTCGGTAATCGACATCGCTAAAAATAGTATTTTCATTGATAAAATCATATTCATCCGCGTAATTTGTGATTGTGCATTTATTGACAATTCTATAAGCCAACGCTACTTTTAAACTTTGAATGCGTTGTAATTTGTTGGATTCTTGTAACAAAATAAAAAATATTTCTTTCTTTTAAATCACTAGTTTTAAGCTGTTTTGAGAACTACTTGTTGTTAGGCTTGTCGTGAAACTTCTGTGTCAGAGATTGACTGTCCGCTTTGTAGTTACTTATCTTTGATCAGAAAATACAATAAAACAATATTAGAAATCTTCGACCATTCGGGAATTATTTTGCTTGAAAATTAATGCGTCTGTCTTGAGCCATCTTTACGCAGTGATCTCCCCTGAATTTTTTGGCATTAGTGTACATGTAAAGGGAAGTAAAGGCTTCAAAAAAGCGGACTACTTTTGGCATTTGCAATTAACAGCATTAGACTCTGAAATTTCGCTACCATTATTTGTTTGGTCTGACGACCCAAACAAATAAAAATTATCTCTATAAACATAAAAAGTTACTAGAACTATCAATGTCTGGTTGTGAAATATACCCACTCTATCCTCCAAACAGCTTTTATTCCAAATACAAGAGCACGCAAAACAGACTCCAAATGAAAAGCAAAATACATTCAAGAGGGCCTTGATATAGGTTTGGTCCTGCTATGATGTTTTGTCCAGGGAAAGGCAAATAAAACAATCAATAATATTTTGTTACCCCTGCATGTTTGTGTAAATATTTTGATGAGACATCATTTGTGCTATACAAAGTTGATACATATACAGGGTTGTCATTGAGAGCGGCAGGAGGCCAAAATGCCTGTCTCAAATGCATTATGGGCCGCCTCAAAATTAAGAAAACACTCTTTGTTATGCATGATAAAGACAGAAATGACCGCCTCAAGTTCAAAACAAACCTTCTGCAAAAAAGTTAATGACAACCCTGCATATATAATGTATTTAAGACGCTCTAAATCTTAAGTGTTACACTACATAGGAGCTTCATTGAAAAATGATTCTAATTTGCACTATTAACAGTCTTTATTTTGGCCCAAAATGTTTGGATATGTGATAAATAGAATACTATACAAATGTATTTGTGTAGGTTCATTACTGAATTAACTGAACCTGTTGAATAAATAGAGGATATTGAATGAGTGTAGTTTAATACTAAATTTATTGAACGAGTTGAATAAAATCATATTATTTAATTTTACCCATGAAATATGGTGCTATATCAGTCAAATATATTTCATATTTTTTAAAAATAAATATGAAATATAAATATGAAAGTGGGCGGAGTCAAAACTCATATTTATTTTAAGGGACTTCTTTCGCCGTTTTGTTTGAAAAATCTGATAAATACAAAACAACTTTTTCTTGAATATTGTTTTGAAAACTATCTAGCATGATAGAAAATGGTCTAACTAAGAAAAATAATCCGAACACCAATATCTTTAATTCAGTAATTAACGCTGTACAGACGTTTAAAAAGTTGTTTACATGACGTCACAATGTAGCGCCAAACAGCGCGTGCTTACGCATAAATTACTGCGCGCTGTACAACTGCAGTTGGTAGCAAGCAAGGGGATTCGTTACCATTTTCTTTGATAATGAAATTAAATAAAAAGGTTATTTTTTCGTTTTTTGTGAAATATGGTATATATTTTCACTCAACATGATAAAATGCCACATATTTTCACTCGCCGTACCGGCTCGTGAAAATATGTGGCATTTTATCATGTTTCGTGAAAATATATTCCATATTTCACGCAAACGAAAAAATATCCTCTTATTATGCGGGCCTCTGGCGAGCATAATATTGTTTTATTCAACGAGTTCAATAAATTTAGTATTAAATCTACACGAATATAATATTCTATTTATCACATATATAAAATAAGAACAGTAAACTGTTAAAATGAGTATTTTTTCAATGACGCGCCTATAGTGTAACGCTAACATTAGCGCGCTTTAACGCTATGTTTCTATATAGCGCAAATGACGTCACGTCAAAGTGTTATTACACTAGTGTAATATCGTTTTTATTAAATGGCTTTATTACACTCCTGCGCCAGGGTTTATGTGATAAAATAATATTTTGCTTGCTAGAGAACTGATATGACTTTTTCTTCGATCTTGTTTGCCATTTTAAAATAGTCACACAAGGCCTAAAAATGACACACAAGTAAAAACAGAATGAATAGGATCAATAAGAAAATGTACCATTACTCATTCAAATTAATTGTTCTTAAAGAATAAAGAAACACAAGTACCTCTGGTTTTGTATACATTTTTTTTTTTTTTTTTGAAAAGGCGGGGGACAATAATTTCATTGTTTTATCAAATAATGCACAAAAATTAATTTGGGAAAGAGAGTAAAATCAGGTTAAGTCAATGTAGGTCAGTATATTATTCTGGTAACATTGTAGGTTTATTTTTCCTAACAGGTCTAATCTAAAACTTTTATACAGCATCAGAAAAAACAAAAAGTATAGCTTAAAATAAAGTTTTGGGAAAGCAAGAACTAGATTAAAATAAGATAGACCTAGTTACAAAAATGTATCAGCAGATATAACGACTTTTGTCATGTGTATAAATTATAAATCATAAAATTATTCTGCAACAAAAATAAAGTTAATTAGAGCTATCTTGTAATGATTAAATCCGTCCACTTACTTTAACTAGATTCTATGTAAAATTTAAAACTGCATCATGTGGGTCTTTTTACAGTACAAATGGCGTTAATTAAATAAAGGGAAACAACTTATATCGGTTTTACGGTATGCTATATCAATGCATAACTGGACAGTTCTTGTTTTATTCATCTGTTGTATATGATGGTTTGGTTTTTGGGATTTTTTTACGTCACATCGACACAGTATAGGTCATATCGCGACGTTCCAGCTTTACTGGTGGAGGAAGACCTCAGGTGCCCTTCCGTGCATTATTTCAGGCACGAACGGGCACCTGAGTAGAACCACCGACGTTCCGTAAGCTATAGCTGGATAGCTTCCTCACATGAAAGAATCCAAAGTCCCTGTCGGATTCGAACCCACAGTGGTGAGGGGCAAGTGGTTTGAAGTGAAACAGTTCTAAAAGACATGCCAATTTGATCTCTGCCCATACAGTATGGCTCAAAAAGAGCTTTCATTTTACACAGTCTCACAAGAAGAAGCCCTACCTTCACCTTTCAGTTAAAATCTAATTTTCAAAGACAATTGAATAGTATTCTGCTCTTAAATAATCAAAGATAGCCTTAGTATACCTGATGATATATGACTTACTAATTACAAGAGTCACTGCCGAGCGGGGCAACGCTCAACTATTTTTCTATCTATTTTATCTCAAAGCAAACAAATAAACGGTTTAAACAAATCTTTAAAAAAAATATGTTTTTCTTTTTATAATTTCTATAGGTCTGTCTAGTCAAAAGTAAGTCGAAGTGTGAATCCTTTCCATAAATAAATGACAATGTTAGGAAAATATATTTAAAATTCAAACATTTGATGGTCAAGGTCACCTTAAGGTCAAGGTCATTAAAAGATTATTATGTTCAAGTTTGAAGACAATCTATTTCAAATTTAAAAACTATAGCCACAAATAGCAAGAAACAAGCAAATTATTCAGACATTTGACCTTGATGGTGAAAGGTCATTTATGGATGAAGGTCAAGGTTTGTCTGGTCTACTTAAAGGTCTTGTCACAAGGGTTGTTGTGGTCAAGTATGCAGACAATACACCAAAAACTTAAAAAGTTATGATTAAGGTACAATTTCGCATTGGCAACAACTGTTACAATACCTCTATTTATCAAAAAAGCTGAAAAGGAATTTGTAACTGAGTTACCAACATCCCCCGCCTCAGGGAAGTTAAATATGAAGCATAAAACTGTTTCGTTTCATAAGATTTTGGTATGGATCTCAGGACTTTTAGTCCAAAATTATGATCAATTCTAGATCTGCAAATGCAACAATTAATTTATTAAAAAAATAAAATGAAACATGGAATTTAAAAATCTATCATGTAAAGCTTTGACATCTAAGTGTGACCTTGACCTTTGAGGCAGGGGTGCATGTGTTGAGCATGACATATCGTCTTATTATTGTAACTATTTGTGCCAAGTATTTTCAAAATCCCTTGAACTATGAAGAAGTTATAGATCAGACATAAACTATACCCTATAACAGACTATGTTTATCCTTGACCTTTAAGTGTGACCTTGGAGGAAAGGACACAAGTTTTGCGCCCAACTTATCATATTATTATTGTGATTATTTGTGCAAAGTATTTTTAAATTCCTTGATCTATGAACAAAGGCAACAGTGTCGCAATATACGCCCGTCACAGAAGCTTTTGAGAGAGATGTGGGCATTACAGGTATGCATATAGGAGATATGCTTTGGGCAATATCTGAAAAATATCTGGATATATTATCACCTCTTGTGATTTTTTTATCTGAACTTTGAACCCTAAATGTGACCTTGACAACTATATTTAGACATGTGACATACAGTTGAGTTCGCACTAAACTTCCCACCCTTGTGCACTTCTAGTGCACTAGAGCTGAACTAGAAGTGCACATCGTGTGCACTTCTAGTGCACTAGACCATATGACCAGGCTGGCCAGGGAAGGTGACACCTAAATGGTTTATTGGATAATTGTATATCAAGTGACAGGGGGCATCTATTGTTAAGCTGCTGTAAGAAAAAAAAACTTTGGGAATATATGGCTTATTCGTGATTATAAATTTTAACATTTTAGGTGATATCATGTTAAAGCTTAACATCAAAAAAATACCTTGCGAATTCCTAAAACATTCTTCATAAGATTGGCAGTTGAGAATGTTCACGGACTGATTTAATTAATTAAATGAGGAAAGGTGACTTTGAAAAATTATTGTTCTAATATTTTACGCCATATTTTACAAAATCCAATATTCACAACTTCAAATTTATTATGAAAAAATATTATACAGATATCTATATTTATCTATTTTCATGTAAAAGTCAAATTGCTATACATTGAAATAAAAGGTAACTGCTTAATACATATAATAGGTCTGGTGCACTACAAAGTGCACTTTCGAAGTGCACTACTAGTGCACTTTGAAGTGCACTAGTAGTGCAAATCTAGTGCACTCCTAGTGCACTTTGTGTAACCTTTAGTGTGAACTCAACTGTAATCGGAAGATGGACAAAACCCCACCAGTTAAAACCCCACCCTTCAAAATTTTTTAGAGTGGACAAAACCCCACACCTAATGTTTACAGAGTGGACAAAACACCACCACCTTTAATTATTGGGCAAGATTTGATGGATTAAAATGCATATAATATACATATATCTTAATATAATATAACACATTATTTTACATTTTATTTATTTTTATTTCAAAAGCATATCAAATTACATGTACATCAATAAAACATGTTTGTAATATAAGAAAGATCATCTTCTCAAAAAGGTGTTACAAACGGTATCCAGACAATTCCCCTCCCGGACGATTCCCCTCCCAGTAAATTTGAATGTTTTTTCACAACGTTTTTTACAAACTGTACACAAAAACCTTAATCCAAATCCCTAAAGAACAATGTAGCATGTAGCATTTATTTCAATAGCAATACAATATGAATGAGACTATACAAACAATTTACAAACTGTTAAAACATCAAAGAGTAAACATTTATTTGAGTCGAATTTTAATAACTGTGCCATAATTGTAGACCAATAATAGCAATTGAAAAATATTTCATTAATTATATCCATTATACATTTTTAACAATGATATCTGGCAGTAATAAAGAATATTCCTATCAAATAAATAAGTACATACATGTATATGAAAAAAAATCATTTAAATGAAAAAACATTAATTCAAATGTAATTCATGTAAAATACATTTCCTTAATGTCACTCTGAAAAATTTAAGGTGGTGGAGTTTTGTCCACTCTATAAAACTGGAGGTGTGGGGTTTTGTCCACTCTATAACATTTTGAGGTGTGGGGTTTTGACTGGTGGGGTTTTGTCCTACATTCTACATAATCATTATACATGTGACGTAACCACACAAAAAATGCGACGCACTGAAAATAAGAACGGACACAAATCAGGCGCAATTTAGCTTAATATCAGGTATCAGCATTTATTTGTTAATGGTGTATAAGAATCAAAATATATACCCAAATCTGTTTGTCATTCGGATGCGCATCATTATATCACAAGGGCGTATTATTTGATTTTTGTTAGGTTTTGTAGCATATGTTAACTTAACTAAAACTGAAATACATTGTACCATGAACTATACGTCTGTATATACATACTTTTGTGCTCTAAGGTCCTTGAAAAGACCAAAAAGTTGCAAATGTCATGATACTCAGCAGTGTTTATTCTACGATTTGAAAATATATATATTAGTACATGTATAGAAAAATTGTTGCTATCAATTTAAATATTAGTATAGAAAAAGTGTAGCTATCAGTTTAAAAAACACTGAAACTTGATTTACTCTATGTCTTTAAGCATTAACTGTTCTATTTTTTCCATGATTATCATAACATTGTATCGATAAAAAGACACTGTTCACTCAAGTTTAGAGAAAATGTTTGCACAAGGTTAAATAAACACATTTATTCAAAATAAAAGTCACAACTATACATGTACAATGACCAGAGGTAAAAATATTTGCAGGTTTAATGTATAAAAAAATAAACATACGAAGAAAAACATAATTATACTTGAAAAGGCAATGAAATATTTATGTTAAGCATTCAAAATCTTGTTTGGGTCATGTTAAAATGTCATGTTCTTTGAATCATAAAAAAGCTTAATTACATAAAAGTATATCAAACATTTTGAAATCCAAAAGGTACATCTTTACAACAGAAATATTCTTGAAATTAGTTAGTCACAATTTTCTTTTTCATATATGTTCTCCATTGTGTGTGTGCAATTAGTACTAATCACATTTTTCTCAATCATACTTTCTACAGTGTGTATGCTCTTAGTTAATCACCGCCTTATTCATATTTCCTACAGAGTGTATTGCCAAATGAGATTTCAAAGTAGTTTTAAAACAAATCATAAATCACTAACTTCACATTTTATGAATTTTCATTATGACACTGTCTACATGCAGTACTGTAATATCATTTCATTGGAATGTGTCTGAGTTATATCATGATATCTTATCACCAGTATGTTTTGTCATATGATTTTTCAAATTCTCATTACGAGAATATAATTTTCCACAAATTTTACATGCATATTTCTTACCACCAGTGTGTAGTGCAGTATGTCTTTTAAGGTTATTTTTTTTACCAAACGATTTCTCACATATTTCACATGTGTGTTTCTTCTCACCAGTGTGTATAATCATATGCATATTAAGGCTACACTGGTGAGAAAATGACTTAGCACATACTTCACATGTGTGTTTCTTTTCACCAGTATGTCTCTTTTCACCAGTATGTTTTGTCATATGAATTTTTAGATTATGTTTTTGAGTAAATGATTTCTCACATATTTCACATTTATGTTTCTTTTCACCAGTATGTATTGTCAAATGGGTTTTAAGATATTCTATACGAGAAAATGATTTCTCACATATTTTACACGTATGTTTCTTTTCATCAGTGTGTATGATCATATGGAATTTTAGACTCTCTTTACGAGAAAACGATTTCTCACAAATAATACATGTATGTTTATTATCACAAGTGTGTATATCCATGTGTCTTTTGAGATTATTTTTCTGAGAAAATGATTTACCACATATTTCACATGTATGCGACTTTTCATCAGTATGTACTGGCATGTGGTTTTGCAGCGCCGCTTTTCGAGAGAATGATTTTTCACATATTTCACATTTATGTTTCTTTTCACCTGTGTGTATTAACATATGTGTTTTAAGATTGCTGTTTTTTGCAAATGACCTTCCACATATTTCACACATATATCTTTTCTCACCACTGTGCAGTGTCATGTGTGCTCCTAAGCTACTTCTCTGAGAAAAGGAATTATCACATGTATGTTTTCCACTGAGTATCATCATATATGCCGTAAGATTACCTATCTGTAAAAATAATTCATCACAGATTTCACACTTACATTTCTTTTCACCAGTGTGAATTGTCATATTACTTTCTAGTGTATCTTTACAAGGAAATAATTTATCAAACATTGCAAATATTTCCTTATTCTCACCTGCAGTGTGATTCATCAAATGTCCTTGAAGATGTTCTTTTTGGGAGAATGACATATTGCATATTTCACACATAAAGCTTTTCTCATTAGAATCCACTTTCTCACTAGCATGAACTGTCATATTATGTGTTTCCAGGTCTGTTTTTTCCACAAATACTTGATAGCAAATATAACATCTATGGCCCATATTGTCACGGTGTTGTTCCATGTCAGAAGAAAGAGATATCAATCCATCAACATTTTCAAATCTAGAACTTTCCTCACTCTCACTCATTCTCAAATGTCTTTCTTTAACAGTGTTTAAGCTTGTTGCAAGTCCTTATCAGTTGCTGCTACACATGTTTTCTGGTCATGAGCTTTCTTTCCTTTGTCATATTAATTTCTTTGAATTCTGCAAGATAAAAAATAAGCATAATTTGCAAATTCTTGATGAGCAAATATATTAACACACAATGCAAACTAAGACTTAGTACATCATTACATGTCATATTTCATTTAATTCAATCGTTAAAACTATTTAAAAACTTAAGACAAAATAACATCTCTTTTCTAAAACTATCAACAACTTTGATGTGTTTTAATGTGTTTAGGTCTGTCAAAGGTCAATTATTATTAAGCTTAGGTCGCATTTTGAATAACTGAATTTGAAAGATTGGTCTGTCTGTATTTTGTTGTTGTTTTATATTCATAGACATGGTATAAACAAATAAAAGAATTAATAACTGTAACTGTTGTAGGAAATCACTTGAAATTAGAATGGTTGGATCAACACTCGGCATAGACCAATAAGAGTGAGTTGACCAAAAAGTTGAAGAGTTGACCACGGCACAATACGACCAAGGCAAGATATGAAACTAACTTGCTGAGCATTGGTTTAGATAGACCTTAATTGCACTTGTTTTGCTTGTTCTATTTACAGTTTAGTGCAAACATTAGTACATTGTACTGTAGAACGTGATGCTTGTTAATAATGAAAACATTTCCAGGAATAATTATAAATGAATATAAATTAAGGTTACTCATAAACAGAAGCATTTACATTTAGATCTATAAGTTATGCAATCAGTTTTGGTTTCTTCATATTAACATTTGTTACGATTTCCGAGCATTGGTCTAACAACATTACATGCTACATACTACAAAGTAAATAAAAAAGATGTTACACATCTTTTAAAATGTTCGACTATAAAGTTAAAACAGATAAAGATCTAGATCTATTTGATAAGTTGTATGTCTACAATATTACTATCAATTTGGTTTATAATGGCGGCAGTAACTGGCTGCGATATCAGCTATTCTTTACTTATCACGGTTCAAAGAAAAAAAACATAATTTAGATATATCTATTTATAAACAAATTATGTAAAACGAACCTTTTTTCAAGAACTGAATGAAATATAAAGACTGTAAAATTGTCATCTGTACTGTACAAATCGTAAATCATGAAAAATTATTTAGCCACACAAGTAAAATCATTTATTTAACAGTTCTAACACTGAACAGCTGAATAAGCGACATTTTTTACAGTACAAATGACGTTAATTAAATAAAGGGAAATCACTTATAACTGACGACAAGGCACCTCGAGCCCTACTTTACAGTAGAAAGAAATCACGCAAACTCTTTCAAATAAAAGCAATAATTAACGTACTCAATCATGGGAGAAATGCTCGGATATATTTGGTTTGATATATTCTGTATTTCTCTATTTTACAGTACAGATGGCGTGAACTAATAAAGTAAAGGGAAGTAATATATAAGCTACAATATAACTATCCAGATTTAATTTGTATCTTGTGGTAAGTAAGCCTATTAAGTTACTTCCCTTTATTCGATATACGCCATTTGTACTGTAAATGTCTCCGATCTTCAAAAACATATTTCCGAGATATTTTAACGTAAGTGAGCTTCTATAATTTGATTTTTTGACTATGCTGGTTTCTTGTTATTGCAGTATTTTGGCTATAAAAAAAACCCAAAATTGAAATTAAAAAAAAAAACTCCGAAAGTTTTAAAAAGTTTTCGCAAATATAAAACCCGGGGGTTTTTCTTTCCCGGGTTGACCAGAAAAAATGTGTGACAACAAAAATTTCAGATTTTGATTGATCGAACATCAATTCTTTTACAGGCTTTTTAACTGCCTTTGCAGGGGTTTAAATTAAAAAAAAACACTTAATTAAGAAACTGCTATGACTTAATACCGGATATGACTCATTTTCTGCGGAAATGACATTAAATATCGGTTATTTTATACTATAGTTTTCAGATAGAAGGAAGTTTTAAAAAAAATCCGAAGTGTTTAAGTTTGTGTTTTCGGCTTAATGGGGGGCCAAGTTTTTGCATCGGGGCCGCCCTTTGCGCATTTCGCACTTTTTTGCAGATCCGCATTTAATGAAGTAATGGGCATCTGACAATCTTTATTTTTGAACAGGGGCTTGAACGTTTTCAGCCAGTTTTTTTTTAAATCGGGAAATGACTAAAAACACTTAATCACGTGTAGCACCCCGACTTATCATCTCGCGTGGTATTGTATTTTCTTTAATATTTTATTCCGTGTTGACCTAAAAAAATTTTGAATTCAGTTTTCACTGAATGATACTAAATATGAATATTGGGGGAGGGGAAGGGTGGGGATTTTTGGGGGGTTAAATACAATTTTTTTTGGGAAAATTTGCACTTAAAAAAGGGGGCAAAAGGGGGCCTTTTAAAAAATGAAAATCAGGGGTTTTTCCCCCAAAAAAAGTCGCGATCATGACCTATACTCAACTGTGTCGATGTGACATAAACCAAAAAAAAAAAAAAAAAAAAAAAATATGAATATATGAATGCAAAGTTGATTTTTTGTGATGATACAATTTTGATGCACTGAGCCTAATGAGACCATTATATGCATCAGTGTCTTTCAATTCAGATTTTTATCTCTTCTTTTTTTTTTGTCCTTTAAGATATCAAGTTAACTTGTCAGGTAGTGAATATTTTTTTATTCTATGAATTTGAATTGATAATTTATCAGAAAATTTCAATCTTAGTAATAAGTTAGGGACATACTGGTTGGAGAAATGACTTCGACATTAAAAATCACATATTTTTGCAATATCTTCATTATCTTCTGTATTTTTTAGATATTAACAACCTAAACAAAGTTCAGTTCAAAAGAACTTTACATTACTCTTCACAAATTATTTATGAAAATAGAAACTGGTACTGCTTTGAGATCTCTGAAATGAGGTATAGAAAACATGGTCTTTTTACCCCACAACAGTAGATAAAGTTGACACTTAAATTTTTAAGTAGAAAAAAGACTGGAAAATCAGCATCAATAATTTAATTTTACATCTAGTATGTTTTATATATTTTTTGTTGATATTTAAACAATTTTTTCAAAATCTTGTCAAAGTCAGTGGCCTTTGGAAATACAATTCTAACTACATTATTGTTATTTAGTATAAAGAACTTTTTGAAGCAGTTTTTGCCTATGAAAAGTTAAGTTATTTGAAAACATTAAAAGTTTACCAACTTACAAAAAAGATCATCACATTCTGTCCTGCTCCTACACAGTATACTACTAGGTGACTATTATTATGCTTGTTTGTTGTAAAAAGTTATAACAATTATATTTATCAAGTGTCGGGTTATGTATGTGTCAGAGTTATCTATCCGACCATTATGGGTTACTGGTACTAAAAATAATTCCAAAATTGACACTGACCCAGATTATACATTCGGTAGTTTGATTTGATTATGAAAATGTTTGGTAATTTTGTATATAATAAACTATTTTATGGTACACAAAAATATTTTTTGTACCTGGTAATACTGAAAGACCCATGGTTGTTTTTTTTTTCGAAATATTTACTGAGATATTCTTATGAAAGCAAAAATATTTACAAGTCAAGAAATAATTTATATGTTTTATGCAATTAATGACAGATTATGCAGTATTTATCTACATTTTTCTACTACATTACTAACTCACTAAGGGTAATATTTTTACATATTCTTTGCTATTTTTTGTAATTTTCAAAGATTTTAAGCGCTATTTACAATGTGTAAATTACTTTCTTTCATCACGTGAAAATATTTTACTTTTTAATAGATTTTATTTCTTGAATGAAAATTAGCATGCTGCTTGAACATTTATATAAAAGTTGCCTTTGGATATTGATTGTTATTGATGTTAAATACAGATAATTTTTGTCTGATTACCTTCAAATTGCTTTGTTTACTTTATATAACCTTTTTATGGTGTCTGAAGCATAACTTTTTAGTATTAGTTCTTGGAAATGTATTTCCAGGAATATAAATTCATCTTATGTCAGTATAATGTAACAACAAAATAAAGGGTGCAAATTACAGGAAGATTTGTCTTTTTTTCAAAAGCTTATTTTCACATAGATAGTCTGTGATATTACATTTATACTGACATCTATTGTCTTTATTATCTTCATATTAATGGTGCATCAATGGTGCATCTATCCAGCTGACTTGTTAAATTATATCAACACTCACAGTGCGAGAAGTGTACCATTAGGGCCTCAAATTATTGTAACTGCATCTCTTTTAATCTAAATTAAGCTTTAAAAGATAATTATATTCTGCAGGGATTAAGTTTTCTTAGGCAAACCATGTTTAAAAGTAACCCAAGGAAAACCATTTTTGAAAGTAAGCAGTAAAATTTACATTATATGAGCTGTCTGGTTATTGTAATTACATGCCATTTGTCCTCCAATACAGGCCTTAACTCTATAGGAGAGCATCAGATTTATGATATTGGGGTGGCTGGTTAGATTTTGGGCAAGGCAAAATCTCTTCCTGGCTATTCAGTGTATTGAGTCTAATAGTCATTTGTCTCATCACTGATTCAGAAATCCTGTGATATTAGTAGTTGGTCACTTAAAGAGAAATTGGTAATTATTGCTTAGTTATCAAGGAAAGCTGGCTAGGGGGACTGGCTGCTAAGATATGTGGACTTACCACCAAGATATGATCAGAAATGTGTTGTTGGGACGTACAAACCACTGAGAAACAGAAAATGAAAATGTAGAGAAATGGGTATATACCTTGCCATACCTGTCTTGTTTAATGCTTGTTTTGGAAACATTAACCAGTTCCTTTGATAGTCTATGTAGGACAACTAGCATGATATTGTGTTAGACAGGTCTCAAACACATGTACAGACTTATGCTTGAAATACTGACCTTGTATAATAATTTATTCCTCTAAAGTGGTATCTAAAAAATTTCTATACATCCATTATATTAGATATAAATAAAATAATCCACATCTCTCTACTTACAGTTAAAGATGCTTCAAGCCCCTGCTGCAGATAACAACAGAGCTCCAATACTTGATGTGTTATGTAAATATTTACCTCAAGATTTTCAGGGGGTATGTCTAGAGATAGCATCAGGTACTGGTCAACATGTCATTCATTTTGCACAATATTTCAAGCAAGCCACATTTCAACCTAGTGATATTGATCAAGCTAATATAAAAAGGTAAGCAATTAAATATTTTTGTCATATTTATTTTCATTCCTTAGGAGCATTGAATATTATCCTTTCATTAAAAAGGTAACATTATAGATTCTTTACATGTGAACAGATAAATTTAATGTAAAACATTTTTGAGTGTTTTATTAAAAGAATATTAGTGTATATATATTATGTAGTCTAAAATTAAAACTAAGCAGGCAAGCTGATATTCCAATTATTATTCTAACACAACCCACATGAAATTCCCTATTGAACATAGAAGAACCGAAACTGTGTGTTATTGAGCAATAAAATCACTGTTGATGTTCTATATTTAGACATGTGACATAATCATTATACATGTGACATTACCACTAAAAATGTGAAGTGCTGAAAATAAGTATGATAACAAATCAGGCACAATTTAGCTTATTTATTTCTTGTTGTCGTGTTAGAATAGAAATAATATATCCAAATCAGTGATTTATTGCTCAATAAAATCACTGTTAGAAGTTCAGTGCGAGGAATTATATCACAAGGGTGTATCATTTTTATTATGTCAGTTATGGAAAGAAAAAAAAATATTGTTTTCCTTTGATTGAAAAATGAAAAAATTCAGGAAACTAAGTAAACTTGAACGGGAATAATATTTGAGTAAAGATTTTCTTTTTTAGTACCTGCATGCCAGGGATTTATATCACATATGTCCCTGGTCTGAACATATTATGAACCATATTACATGGCAGGAAGTTACCTTCAAAATTTGGTCATCAAAATTTATAATAGTTGCTCTCAAAATTTGGTGATACTTTTTAGGAACAATTTAGCAACCTTACTGCTTAGACTGTTACTGTAAAATTTTACCATTGAATTAACAAATCTGAAACAGGTTTTTTATAGACAGTATAAAAATTGTATTTATTTAAAGGTTCTGGACAGTACCTTTTACAATAACAGGGGACATACCTTCTTGCCATTACACTTAAATACAACTTAAATAATGTCAGGCATTTCTATTAATTTTGCTTTTACAGTGATGTGATTGCACTATACCAGTTATAATTATCAGATTTTGTTCTTGTATTTACAGTATATCAGCATATACAGCACATCATAGACTGTCTAATGTAAAACCACCTATTACTATAGACATCACAACTCCTGTAACTAGTTGGTCAGAGAAAATAAGCCCCGCCTCCTGTGATGTCATATATAATGCTAACATGGTTCATATATCACCTTGGGAAACAGCTATAGTATGTAATATTATACAGTTATTCCATATGTGATTTGGGAACAGTCAAACTGTTGGCCCGAGGTGGAGGGGGTAGTGTTTTGAACTGTTGCCCAAGGCCGTAGGCCGAGGGCAACAGTTCAAAACACTATCCCCGACACAGAGGGACAACTGTTTGACTGTTCCCAAAATCACGCATGAAATAACTGTTTTATTACCTGATCAACTACTGTTTTAACAGTACTTGCAGAAGAAAAAAGGAACAAGAAAATATGTTAATAATTACACTTAATATTTTAACTATGTCACGTCACGTCTGGTTTATGATCAAGATCGATAGACGCTTCAAGTGGGAATCCTCTATGACATCGATGACGTCAGAGCACGCGAGGGAAACAGTCGAAACTATTGACCGGTCAACAGTTCGGGAACGTTGACGTTTTTAGAATTTCAGAAAACAGTAAATAATAACAAATTACATTTATATAAGGTATCAGGTAATAATACAATTTGTGTCTTAAAGGCACATTATGTCTGAGAAAACCATTTTTTTTATTTCTTTAGAAATATCAAACATATGTTTTATAATGTTGTAATAATGGATTGAAAAGCATGTTTTATATTAAACAACTGACAAAAATATTGCTGAACATGCAGTTATGTGTCATAAAGGTAGCAAAATGTAAACAAAGTAGTATTTTGACTTCTATACATAATATTAATGTACTATAATTATACTTATTGCCAACAGAAGCAAAAATAGTTCATCTATATGACAAATGAATATAAGTGTTATAAGTTATTGGAAACTGTAACAAGGTGTCGAAAAATAAAAAGTTTTTTAGAAATAAATATGATAGTGCCTTTAAATCTTTAAAATGTAATTATTTAACACTCATATTTTCTACAGTACATACATATACAGCAGTTGTGTATCACCCTGGGAAACAGCTATAGTATACTTTATCAATTTAGGATCTATATTTCTCGAATTTTTTATTTATTTTATGCTCAAATCTACCTGAAATACAATACATTGTCAATTTTAAATCAGAAAGTTTACACCCTCAGCCCTTTTGATGTAATTAATATCAAGATGCTACATTGAAACCCAAGTTGAACAGTGGTGAACACTCCTTTTTATAAGATGTCATTAATGACTGGTTATTTTTCAATATATATAAATAAATTCACCCATTCAGCTCAATAGGGAGAGCATTGTATTAGTAACCCAGGGATGGCTGGCTCAATCCTTTGGCAAAGTGTAATTTCTCCATAACAATTGATCTCAGACATTGGCTGTAATGGTCACTAAATGTCTCTCAACGCTGATTGATAAATCATGTGGGGTAAGAAATTGGTGACTCGCGGAGGAATAAGTAATAACTGGTTTGTTATCCAGGAAAGCTGGTGTTGATAAACCATCAAGATATGACCAAAAATTGTGTAAAAATCAGCATAAAAGAACACCAGATAAATAATGCAATCCAACTAACAAATTTTCATGTTAGGGATAGTAATGGTTGCACACTTAGCTGACTGTCAATTTAATGAATAATTTTAAATAACATATAAGATGCTGCATGTTCCACTGCATATACAATTAATGAACACTATACACGCATATACACCAATCAGTAATCAGCATTTGTGGAACACCGAAGTGTTAACCTTATGTTAACACTTCGTTTGCTCCACCCACACCATGACTTGCACAGTTAAACCAGACATCAATATTTTCCATATAGTTAGGCAGTTATTGTTAAAAAAAAAATAATAGTACCAACAGTTGACTAATCCAGACAGTAAAAATTTAATCCTTAAATTTATCTAAAAATTTATCTAAAAACAAGCTGTCAAATAAAAACTTAAAATTCTTGTCATGAAGTAATGATCAGTCCCTCTAAAACCAAACTATTTACTTATAAGAATAGAATGAGAACTAGATTAGCAACCATGTTCCTTATCATGTGATAAAAAAAACCTTAACTATTATTAAGAAAATCCACCCATGTGGTAAAAATTAATTTATTTCGACAATTACTACCATTATCTGGAGACACCGCCAGTCTGAATTATAATACAAGTATTGTCAAAACAAATATTATCTTAGCATTTTAATATACAATAAACTTATTTAAAAAAATTAAATTTCATCTATAATTCTCAAGTTTGTTGATAAATTTTAATCATTTCGAATGTTAAGAATTAAACAAGGGTTTTCCCCCAACTAAAAAAATTTTGAATTGGAGAGTTTAAAAGTAAACTTTTATCATCACTTAATTTCAAAAACCCACTATTATTCCATGGGGTTTTACAAACAGGTCGTTCCTAAATTTTAAAAAACATTTCAGTTAAAAACAAACATGTTTTTTCATTTCTACCCCTAAAAAGCAAAAAGGGCCCCAAATTCTATCATTTACTGCCAGACGCTCATTCTCCAGTCTCTAGCCTAAATTTTGGGCTACTTTCCCAAAAGAAATTTTTGAATCAGATCTATGTTTTGCTATTTGCAAAATTTGAATATTCTTATTTGTAAATTTTAATGTATAGGGGGATAAAAGATGAAAATTGAAATATGCCGCCACTAGGGGATAAAATAATCATTATATAAACATATGTGACGAATAGTCACTATAAATCTTTACAATAGAAAGTTAAAACAGCTTCGAAGCTAAAAATCTGACTACTTAGTTTTAGTAAAATGAGCAGAACAATGAAACAGAAACAACTTACTATTTGTACTAATATTACAACACAGTAACTTGTTAAATTCAGTATAACAAATGCTATAATATAGCATTCGACTTAAATATCTTAAGTTTAACTGTCTGTTTTAAGTCTGGAAAAGATAAATTTTAGCTTTTTTGAGCTGTGATTGGGAGTATTATTGTAAAGAAAAACAAAACATTTTGCAGATTGAAGGTTATTTTGGTTCCCTTGGTTCAATTCATGATATTAGAGCCCGCCAGGAATCAGTTTGCCAGGCAGGTAACTTGGTACAGCTTATTTTTATTTGTTTGCGTCGTCAGCACGATCAAACAAGTAATGGTCTAGGGAAATTTCAGAACCTGATGTGCTTATTTGCCAAAAAAAAAACAAAAAAAAAAAAAAAAACGAAGTAGTATCCAAACTCCTCGAGCGGTTACTTCCCTTTATATGTACACTAACGCCAAAAAACTTAGGGAGATCACTGCCGTAAAGATTGTCACATGACAAGGCGATTAATTTTCAAGCTTCTTCTCGGGAAAAAAAACTTTTCCGAATAGATCGAAGATTTCTCATCTTGTGTTATTCTTTATAAATATTATGCTTATATTAAGCTCTATGATTATTATGCATCAGTCTTAAACAAAGAGTTTTACTCATATTATCGAAAATTAATAAGGGTTAAAACCCTAATTCAAAATATGTGGTTTTCGTTAGACCGTTAACATATAACTTCACCGTGGACGCTCGCTTAGGATGCGAGGAGTCTGGAGTTCAAATACCGTTAACATGGTTAAGGCAACTATTTTGTTAATGTTTAAGTCAATAACCTGATTTAAGTTCAGATGCTGCAGTTAATCTATATAGCCATTTTAATCATTGAAACACATGGATTAGATGATGCACTATCAAACAAATGGGTTTTTCTCAAACTTACACCTTTCTGACATTCTGACACCCAAACAAATTCAAGACGTCTTCTGTGTTTGATCTTGTCCTGTTATTATGAGTTCTGTTTTAAATATCAGTTTTAAATAAAGCAGTTCCAATTATCAAGCAAGATAGAATAAAATGCCATATTTATTCTTTCATAGGATCATCATTAATTCCATTTTATAGAAATGTATGTCTGCTTTTTAAGATATCAATATTTGTGATTTCATTTTGTTGAGCACGTTATTGTATGTTTGAATTTTTGAGACTTACTGAAAACAATTGTAGTCTTTAATTGTTCGAAGTAATTAGATATTTTTATTTTCAGATGTTAAGCCCCTTCTCCTACAATGGCTATAATATTAACTGTTACAATATAGTCGACGGTTTCTACGGCACCAAATTAATCTGACACGAAGTTTCGCCGAATTACTTTCACGACAAGGGTAATTTCACGATCTATTGCCTGATATAAAATCATAAAAATACAAAATATCACTGATTCAATATACATTAACACTTTTGATTAAATTCATCAGAATAATACCTTTTACGCACTTTCATAAAATTAGAATAAATGAGAACTAGCGCAGGAGTCAAACTCTTTCAGTAGGTTCCCGTTTCACACTTTACCTTTTCCAGAATGAAATTGGCATTATAATCCCGAAGTGAATTTGTGCCTCCATTAAAAATTTGACCTTAAATTTATAAATCATTTAAACATGAATGGCCCCGTATTCGGAAGTAACAAGAGTGTGTGTAGTGCTTGGATTAATGTTGTCGGCCGACAGTGTGCAAATTCAAGCTCATTTATAATCATCAAGTGTAGCCGTAGTTCAGCTGCCGATACGTTAATTGATCAGTCAATTTTGTTCAACTTTTATAAACAAAAGTTTTGTATAAAAAATTAAAAATCATTGACCTGATTTTTTTATATAGACGATCGTGAACGCCGCTAGTCCGGGGTCTCATTTCTGGGAAATCTACTTTTCAAAAAGTCATTTCTTGGAGCTTGACAAGCCGACAGACATTTACGGCTATGCGTTATTTTAAAAGTTTGAATGTAAATGTGAAAAACTTCCGATAGTATGCAAGATTCATGGTAATGAAGGATCGAAGCACATTATTGCCATGTTGCACAAAACGGAGTCGACAATAAGTTACACAACGGTAGTGGCATATGTTAGCGAATCTCTCATACTATACCTTTCAGGAAGAACTCTTTTTAATTTCGCGAATTTGCATCAGATTAGATGGCAATAGACAAGGTTTTCCGCAGTGTTTTTGAGAGGGTCCATTTACATGAGCATATACTGTAACACGAGTATCTCCAAATGATTGTTTTGGAAATTTTTGCTGGAAGAACATTAAAACAATAGT